CAGACTTCTCCTGTTTAAACTGTGAAATGTAAAGAAGAAAAAAAAGGAAACAACAGCTACTGAATAAGTCAATTAATTAACATGGTCTCATTTTATAATTAGAGGATTCAAGTCACACTAGTTAAAAATGTGTTACTGAAACAGCATCTTCTTCAGTAGAGGATATAGAAATTATATATTTTGTTACCCTTTGCAATCTCCACAAGAAAGTACTTCACACTGAAAAACTAAGACCTATTTTCCTCTGATTTTAATATGTTGCATTTCATTAAAACAGATGTAGTGGTGAACACACCACCAGCTGCTCACCCCTTTTAAACACATCTCCACACAACCCCATAAATGAACAGAGCTTTTGTGCTGTGATTTCCTTGTTTTATAATGATTACGCCCTTTAATTTACTAAGAGCAATTAGGTCTGTCTGGATGAGCAAAACAACCACATTCTGTGGTCTCAACCTCAATGAGAATCCCTGTCAAAACACACATTAACGTATTTGTCAGCACATTAACTGGCCAGGTTTTAACCTCAGCTTCCAAGAGCCCTCAAGAAAGGGCCCAGAGTAATGTATGTAACATTTCTCAGTTTTTCAAAATCAAAGCATGCTATAGTTACTTTTTGTTTTCCAGACGTCCACCACATACCTAAGACAAACAAGATAAAGCGTTTTTAATCTTGCTGAAAATAACAATGTTTGACAAGAAAAATAAGCTTAGAGACAATGCCCAGCCCTGTGTTACACTGACTTGCTCTCTTGCTTCTCTGCTCATTTCTCTCTAGGCAATTATTCTTCATTTAAGATGTTCTCCCATGTTCCCTGAAGTCTGCTGCAATAAGTTGCTATTTAATAGCATTTAGACTAAGAAAAGCAAAATAATTGGAGCTTTACAGTGAGCTGCAAGCCACTCAATAGAATTCATTATAGCACAGATTGTCTTAGGATGATGCTTCATATCAGCCCTATGTTATTCCAGTGCTGAATGCAACTCATGTACCCAACAAATAATTATGCAAAAGCACTTTATAGTGCTATTTTACTGACTGGCACAATGCAGTTAGAATATATAGTATCTTGCAACTCAGTACACAGGAGCTTGGCATTTACAGCCCATCAATACTGAACAACTTTCTACATAAGCACTGATCTTTAGTATATGTGCGTGAGTAATAGTTTTATTTCTCACATAGTCCTAACTTTAGAAGACTTTAATTATTATCTTTTCTTTGCAATGATTCATAAAATAAAGTGTACTTTTCCAGAACAATCTTTTCCACATAAAATACTCCAAGACTTCAGAATTTAAAACTAATACACTGAACTGGCTTCACCAAGTATTTTAACCTGCTATTTAATATGTGACTGCCTTTCACAAGATGTACTGATTTATGATAAGCCAATGCAAGTCGTGATGAGGGAAATTCTGGCTATACACAGGACAACAAAGTTCACAGCCAGGGTGGTGAAATATAGGATGTCTAGCAAGGCTGCAAAATCTCCATCCTTGGAGACAGGCAAAACTCAGACAGATGGGGCCCTCAGCAACTTGATCTCACTTGGAAATTGTGGCCTTGCTTTGAGCAAAGATTTGACAAGATGACCTCCTAAATTATTCTATAATTGTATGACAATGTAGGGGATGCCCATAGGCACATGAGAAGTATATCCACACCAGATGCCTTACTATCTGCTTGGTGCTTTTTCATCTTACAGAGAGAAAAGAACATGACTGGATGTAGAAGTAGGATAGAATTGTTAGGGTTGGAAGGGACTTTAAAGACCATCTAGTTCCACCCCTGCTGCCATGGGCAGGGACACTTCCTGCTAGATCAGGGTGCTCAGATCCCCATCCAGCCTGGCCTTGGAAACTTCCAGGGATGAGGCTTCCACCACCTCTCTGGGCAACCTGTTCCAGTGTCTCACCACCCTCATGGTGAAGAACTTCTTACTAATGTCTAATCTGAAACTACCCACCTCTAGTTTTGATCCATTCCCCTTAGTCCTATCACTATCCAACATCCTAAAAAGTCCCTTACCAGCTTTTTTGCAGGACACAATAAGGTCTCCTTGGAGCCTTCCTTTCTCTAAACTGAAGAACCCCAACTCTCTCAGTCTGTCTTCAGAGAAGAGGTGCTCCAGCCCTCAGATCATCCTCGCAGCCCTTTGCTTAGTTTAACAGTGAGCCTAACTCTCACTGCTAATTAAGCGTAACTATTTTAGGAACAATAGTCTTCCCCTCAGCCTTTCTGGATATACATCCTGACCTGAAAGCAAGGAGTGGCAGAGAATCCATGCTGGAAATGTGCCTGCTGATCATCACACAAGCACTGCTCTGAGCTGCTTTCAGCCACCTGAAGTAGCAGGTGGTCTGGGACAGAGGTTTGAGAACCAAAGGCAAAGAAGGGGCTACATCATAAAGTCAAGTGGTTGCAGCACACAGCTGGACTGGAGATTTCAGTCTGTGCTCCCAAGGCAGCTTGTGCACTTTTCACTACAGCAGCAGGCACATCATATACAACACAAGTAGATTTTGAATGAGATTTACTAGACCAAGAAGCCACATCATGTAGAGGAAACACCTACCAGGTGTTTTTAATTCAGAGCCACCATCTCCTGCAGAGAGGAAAGAAGCTGCTGAATAGGCAGCAAGTGGTACCTTTTGCTTCTTTGAAAGACTGCATCAGCCAGTTAGCTCCTAAATTGAAAGGAGAAAAGCAGATCTCAGAGGAAGGGCAAGTGCACTCTATTTCTGAAGGCCTAGCTGGGCAGTTGGGAATGGCAGGCACGCACATGCAGTTTGAAATACAAGCAGCCTTATTGCCACATCATAAATAGGTCTGAAGGGCTGAAGAAAGAAGAAGCACCACCTGCTGCCCTTCTCCTAGTAACCTTCTAGTTATGTCACTTATCCTGGGACAGAAACCTGGCTTTTAGCTTCACTGCATCTGTGTGGAGGAGGGAAGATGAAGGTGTATCTTACAGACACACTACAGTTTATGAACCTCTAGAGCCATTTCTACCAACTCATTTAGCTTTTAAGTTGGGAAGAAGAAGGGAAAAAAAAAATAGCACTTCATCGATGAATAGTTGCCAGCTCCCTCAACAACCACGGCCACTAGGTCTCTCTCTTATCTGAGCTGAGTGCTATAACCATTAATCCTCTCCACTTTCACTCTCCTAGAGTCAGATCTCCCCTCGCCTGTTAGTCTTTTGGCCTTTTGCCAGATTTCTGCTTTTGCATTCCTGGATACATTAAGGTCCAGGTTAAGAACTGTGATGAAACACACTCCCTTCCAGGCCACAGAAATTCTTGGCAGGTAAGAGCTTGCTCTGAGGCTGTAGGTTCAGATCCAGACAGGCTTCAGAGGACCCACGTTCTGAAGCTTCCACATTCTAAAACAAGGACTCTTGTTTCCATGTGACCATGCCATAGGTGGGCATCTACATCATTGCCAGTAGATCTGGTCAGAAAAGGCTTTGGGATTTGACAAAAGCACACAACTATAACATGATATAGGAGATATAAACTGTTCCCAAAGGCTGTCACAGATGCCCGCTAAGTGTGCTTACTTGTGCAGCCCAAACAAGCATGCATTTGTCCCCATTTGCAATAGGGAAAATCCAGCTATGGCAAAGAGAGTAGAAGCACCTGATCATTGGCCCTGGTGACACAAAGCTGATCAACAAATAAATCTAAAACAGAAAAGTTCCATTCAAAGCATCTTTTAAAATTAACAGACAGGAAATTAATTCTAAACCTAGATTAAAGTTCTGAACCCACATCAAATAATGAATGCCTGTATTCCCTCAACTGATTTGCTATTAATGGTGCCAGTGACTGAAGAACTCTAAAGTGTCTCCTGCACCAGTACAAATTTAACTCATCTATAAATTATTTCCTAAAGAGTTAAGTGCAAATCAAATGATGCATCAGCAATGTCAGCAGAAAGAAATCTCAAAAATCTAATCTTAAATCAAAGCACACTTGTTCACAGATTGAGACCTTTTATTCTTCAATCTGAGAAACACAGGTAGAAGATACCATTAAAACAAACTAAAGTTAAGAAACTATGTCCCATAACCTCATTTAAAACTTTAAACAAATCTCAGAAGAGAGGAATATTTCCTCTACAAAATGTTCTGCTGACTTCAAGAAAGTCTGTATAAATTAGCACACATGAGCAGCAATTTCTCACAAACGTTAATATAACCAAACTAAATCCAGTAAACATGGAGAACAAAATTGCAAGCAACATAGTTATTGCTTATCTGAAATAAATGCAACTTAGAATAAACATTAATTTTATTTTGCCCTGGTGACACTGCAGCTGTAACACTTTCAAAGTTCTATCACCAGTGTCCCATGGACTGCCAGTACAGTTTAGGCCCTGAAGCTCTTTTATTGCTTTTGTAAATAAAGATGAAGTTATTTACAAACTGTTACCAAGAGTAGCTACTTTTCCATTTTAAAGTACCATATGCTGTGCATTTAGCTGTAGGTATTCCAAAAGCTTTCCTGCTATAACCCTTCCTCCACTACCTTAAGTCCATGGTCTGAGCCTAACACTCATCACATCAAAGTGTTAACTGAAGCAAGAAGCATCTCTAATAATTATTTGGATGGTGCCTAGTATACACTCTCAAGCTGTGAGAAATATGTTGTAATTACTTCATTATCAAGCTGTGAAAAAAATTCCACCAGTTAACAAGAGATAGTTTAAATTTATTATAGGTATTAACAGTTGATGGATGTATGTGTTTTCTGCAGGTAGCTGTTTACCATAACAAAAAGTGCAAGACCTTCAAATAACTACAAAGTCTTCCTTACTGAGCAAATATGTTAATATTAGAACTTCAACAACTGTTCTTAGAAAATACTTAAGTCTCTGAATCCAGACAATCAGTTGGCACAATTATAGAGGAAACAACTGACAGCCAATTCAACGGTACATTGGGAAGATACAACTCTACATCACGGACAACATATTGAAATTCAAATACCTCTTTATTGTCCCTGGCAGTTCCAGACTGAACTGAATTTGATAGGAGGATGCTAACATGTCATCCACAGCCTTGCTTATTTCCTGTAGTTCTCTCAAAGAAACGCAGCCAAGTAAAGCAGTCAATTCACAGTCCTGTGAGTGAATAAGCCTATCTTCTTCTTCAATTTCTTTTCTTAGTTGTTCATCTTTTGCTTCTAATAAAGCCAGTCTTGCTCGAAGGTCTTCAATTTCTTTCTGTATAAAACAGAAACCTGAGTTTACTATGAAGCCTGCTGAAGAAACACCTCTTCTTCTAGTAAGGTTGTTCAACTTAGCACAACAATAAATGAGAAGTTATTTTGTTGTCATGCAAAATTTCTTATGCCTGATGTATCTAGAAACTCTAGTGTTTCCACAGTCTGAAACTTCTCACCTCCATTTCAATAGCAAATTTCAGGTTTCTCTTCCAACACCATCAGTCACCTTTTATGCTTAAAAGACACATGTACTTCCCCAGTCAAAAACTTTCCCAAAAAACCCAAGAACTCAGTTCAACCACGACAACAGAATCTTGCTCCAGACTGGCAGCTAGAGGGATCAACTATCTCTCTGTCCTCCTGCAGAATATCCCTGCATAGGATGCAGCTGGTGAATCACTAACTCCTTGTCTAGTCCTTTTGATTATTAATTTTTAATTAAAGCACAAAAATCCTCCCTTGACTGAAAAGGACCAGAGCTTCAACCTCAGTTGCACTCATCTTGCCAGAAGTTCAAACCCTGTATGTTATGATACTGGTGTTTTTTTAAAGGGCATGTTCTAATTTCTCCTTAAAAAGCAACAGGTACCTTGTAGCCAAGGAAGGAACATTTCATGAAGGAGTCTTGGTTGCTGAGTTAATAATGTTATTTCATATATGGCTCTTGGCTCCTTTTGCCCCAAATTGGAAAAATTAATTTTAAAAAAAATTATATAAATCAAAGAAGTACTACTTGTTATTGAAGCAGTTGAATGCCACACTGGAGAAATCTATTTTATTTCTACATTTCTTACAGTCTTTCTTAAAGTGGCTTTCCAAGCCACTTATACCATTACATTCACATGCAGCCACAGACTGAATGTTCTCTATCTTAAATACAACCAACAAGAAGGGTCTCTGAATTGCTTGCTGTCTCTAGACTCTTGACAGAAATCAAAGCTCATAATTCCATGCTTTGACCATATTCTATCCAGGTATTAAGAAAAATTAAAGAAAAAAATGAATAAATTCCACAACCTTTTTCAGGCAAATAACTAGGCATTCACAAAACTGACAGTAGAAACAACCATAGCTTTTCATGGTAATTCACTTCTTCATTCTCTATCTGTAAAATGGCAATAAGAACATCTCTTCACCTAAAGTGATGCTACAGAGATAAAATTAAGTGGTTTTGAATCCCTCAGATGCTATGTTGATTAATGATGTAAAAAGAGCCCATTCACAAATTAATAAATTTGCATCCAAAAGAGAGTTTGTGTGGCTAAAAGAGTTCTGGGGCCAAACACTGAGTTACAAACATAAAATGGCATTCTAAATATCTTTTCATCTTCAGCAATGTATGAGGCAGGGATTCAGGAAAGAAAGGCATGCTCATATAAATACTTTAATAAGAAATCCAAATTATGCATGGCTAACTGACTGGCATTTCTTTGCTTTTGAGTTCTAGTCTTGGAAACCTTAATGTTCTTTTAATGTTTTCAACGTAGTTGAAGTGAAGTTTAGTTCACCAGCGCTCCTTTTGTCAACAAACACATTTTCAGGTTTGCTGCACTGCAACAAGCTCTCTTCAGTATCACTTAAGCAAATAAGCAGTCCTTGCATGTTAAAAGGCTGACTGGCTCAAAAGTTTAAACCTATATTAGTGCTGCACATTAGATTATTCCATTATTTTCCTCCTTTTTTGGTTTTATATTTAGCGAGAAAAGAACAGAATGGCCCATGTTTCAACCCACAGGCATTTGTCAAGGACAGAAAGGTCAGCAGGCCAAAAACACCAGTTTTGTTTCTTTCAGTCTCAAATCAGGCTTTTAATGCTTACAAAGGACAATTCTGTCTCTGTGTTACTTGTTTGGGAATACTGCCAAAATCTTAATAGGCTATACTTGATACAAAGACATTCATACTGGTTGCAATCCCTGCAAAAAGCATCTTAACATGGGAACAGAAAAGGGAGATGAACAGAATTTGGTTTTACAAACACGCTTTTAGCGCTGAAATGTTTTTACAACATAAATAGATATCAGAAGCACACAGAGAAAGCTGTTCTGTTCGGGAATAGTTCACAGGCATTTTTGGGAGAACAGAGATTTTACTCAGTGAATTGGAATTCTCTCAGATTCTTTTCCAGAAATGCCAAGAAGACTTTAATGTGCTCCTGGTCAGTCACCAGAGACAGATAAAAAGAATTTAAAGTCTCGGCATGGAGCAGCAGATGATGTTCAGCTCACTAAGCAGAAGCTGGAGTTTTACTTTGTAGATCTGAGTTTAAACTGAGATTTCTAACAGGACAGCTAACCACTACTCATTGTAAATCTCCAGATTCACTTATGGGCTGCTGTTCTCCCTGAAGTACAGACTGCAGTAAAAACATCTAGATACCATCAAAGGCTCTTAAATCCCTGAAGACAAATGCAGAACCAATAGGAGAGAGGGCAGAAGGAAACTTATTCAGTAGCCCCCCCACAATCCAAGAAGAGATGGTCAGTGACCTGCTCCACCATATAGATGTGCACAAATCTGTGGGGCTAGATGGGATGCACCCAAGAGTGCTGAAACAGCTAGCAAGGGTGCTCATCAAGCCACTTTCCATCATTTATCAGCAGTCCTGGCTGACTGGAGAGGTAACAGCAGATTGGAAATCAGCCACGTAGCCCCCATATAAAGAAGAAGAGACAGAAGGATGATCCAGGAAATTACAGGCCTGACAGTTTTACTTCAGTACTGGGGAAGCTGATGGAGCAGATCATCCTGAGTACCATTATGCAGTACATCCAGGACAACCAGATGATCAGGCCCAGACAACATGAGTTCATGAAGAGCAGATACTGTTTGACCAACCTGACCTCCTTCTGTGACAGGGTGACCTGCTTATCAGACAAGGGAAGGCCTGTGGATATTCTCTACCTTGACTTCAGAAAGGCCTTTGACACAGTTTGCCACAGCATTCTCCTATAGAAGCTGGCTGCTCGTGGCTTGGATGAGCACACACTTTGCTGGATTAAAAACTGGCTGGATGGCTGGACCCAAGGAGTTGTGTTCAATGGAGTTAAATCCAGTTGGCAGCCAGTCACAGGTAGTGTTCCCCAGGGCTCAGTGCTGGGGCCACTCCTGTTTAACATCTTTATTGATGATTTGGATGAGGGGATAGAGGGCAGATGACAGTAAGTTGGGTGGGAGTGTTGATGTGTCTCAGGGCAGGGAGGCTTTGCAGAGGGATCTGGACAGGCTTGATTGATGGGCCAAGGACACTGAGGTTCTGGAGAGGGTGCAGAGAAGGGCAAGTAAGCTATTAGGGGTCTGGAGAACAGATCCTATGAGGAGAGGCTGAGGGAGCTGGGGCTGTTCAGCCTAGAGAAGACTGAGGGGAGACTTCACTGCTCTCTACAACTAACCAAAAGGAGGTTGTAGTGAGGCATGTGTTGGCCTCTTCTCCCTGGTGGTTAGTGATATGACAAGAGGAAATGGGGTCAAGTTGCACCATGGGAGGTTCAGATTAGTATCTGGAAAAATTTATTCACAGAAAGAGTGAGGAGGCATTGGAACAGTCTGCCCAGGGAGGGGGGGGAGACAACATCCCTGGAGGGGTTCAAAAAACCAGGTAGACATGGTGCTTCAGGAGATGGTTTAGTGGTCACAGGGGTATAGAGCTGATGGTTGGACTTGATGATCTTGCAGGTCTTTTCCAACCTTAATGATTCTATGATTCTATGAAAAGAAATGTAAAGTAGGTCTAAGTAAAAAAAAAAAAAAATAAAAACAGTTAATTCAGATAATGTGATAGTTTGGGCAGGACCAATCCCTAAGTAATGCTGGAAGCCACCAAACATCACTGGTCAGCCTCCTTCAGAACCTTGAATTCATTACAGTTTTGATGAAATGCTCATAAACAGCATGCCTGAATAACAGTGCAGCTCATTATTTCCCTAGTATAACTACATAAGAACAAAGATTCACCTGGAGCAAGTATTAAAACAGTAGCTGACACGGAGTCTTAAGTACAGCACTTTTCAATTGTAAAGCTTGAAGTGACTGGTTGGATGTCTAGATTAGCAACAATAGTTTTCTGGGCACTGAAAATGTTGAACTACATTATGTCTCCTCTTATACATTGATGAAATAAATCCAAACAATACAAAAGGTTATGACTAGGATAGAAGAGACATTTCTTCATGTAAGTAAGGTTTTGCAATGGCCATCTAAGATGCTTTTCTCAACTTCTTTCTCATTTAGATAGATACATGTATTTCTGTGTATACAAACACACAGACTATTACAGTGACTGATTCACCAAAGGAGGAAAAGCATTAAAAAATAAAGACATTTAAATACAAGACCCCAGAGAAAAAAAAAAAAAAAAAAAAAAATAGAAGAGACATTTCTTCATGTAAGTAAGGTTTTGCAATGGCCATCTAAGATGCTTTTCTCAACTTCTTTCTCATTTAGATAGATACATGTATTTCTGTGTATACAAACACACAGACTATTACAGTGACTGATTCACCAAAGGAGGAAAAGCATTAAAAAATAAAGACATTTAAATACAAGACCCCAGAGAAAAAAAAAAAAAAAAGAATAATAGACCTACTAGCTCTCTTAAGATGTCATGCTGCTGAGGTTTAAATACAGATGGAACAAAGACTTGTACTAGACACTAAACTGAAATTTTTGAAGGACAGTGAAAAGAAACAGCTACATTTTGGTTAAAAGGCTTGCAGATTTAAAATTGGACAGAAGCCATCTTAAAAACATTTAATTTGCCAAATTACCACGTTGTGACATCACGTGTCAGTGTAAAGTTATTGTTGGCAATTGCCAACTGCTCCACGATGATTCCTTCATCCTTATGAAATGCATCAATCATCTTTCAGGAACAAAAGCTGGTAAATCATGTATTTATAGTCAATTCTATTCAGAAATTTATGAAAGATTGCTTCCTTCAAAACTTCTTTCCTTCAAATAAAAACCTCTGAAGATCATTGAAATATTAAAATATCAAATTAGAACATAAAGCACACTTAAAAAGATAATGAGGAAAGCTAAAGCACACACACAAGCCACAGAGCTTTCCAGTTCTGCTTCTCTGTAATGAGATTAACACAACTCCTGTGGCTGCCATCTCCAATCATCACTTAGATTATCAACTGGACCACAGCCAAGGCTATAATTGCTGCACAGAAGCAAAGTCACTATTACAATAAATTTATTTGATTCTGTGTGACAGCTTACAAGCTCTTCCCTACGCGGCACTGGTTCTTATAAACAACTTTGCAGTCCTGTTACCTGTAAACATTTCTTTTCTTGAAAAAGTTGATTTCGTTTTGTGGCCAAAACCTGCATCCTCTCCTGGTAAGTGGATCTCAAAAGTCTATGTTCATTTCCATGCCAAAGCTGGGCTTCTTCCTGTCTAATCCTTTGAAAAAAATGACAAAGGCTAAAAGTTAGTGTTACAGCTGAGTATCAACTCAAAGATTAAATATATCAGAACACTACATGTTACCTTCAGCAACATAGCACTCCATCACCAGAATAATTACATCTTAAACAGATACAGTTAGAGAACAAGAGATTTTTCCTTGGCTTATCTTCATTTATTATCATGTCAAACATTTACACTGTTTTTACAACATGCAGAAGAAGGAAAAAAGAAAACTTGTATAGCTTAAGGCTTCCCCCAGCTTTTACATGTTTCAGAAATTTATCCATCACTGCCTTGAAAGAGACAAAATTAAGGCATGTAATTTCTATCAATAAAGAGAAAAATCTCTTTTAGACAGAAGTTTAGAAACCTGCTGAAGCCACTTTTGCAGTTTCTGTCATCTTTTGAAGACTACATTAGAGATCATCTGGAGTGTTTGCTCCATGATGCCAAATTTTACTTCTCTCATGTACAGCGAGTTCTTTCAAAATCGCAGTCAGTGGGGTTCCTCACAGTGGTCGGTGGCTGGTACAACCCTCAGATGCAAATTTTTGCACGATTGGACCCCAAGGTAATCCGTGCATTACATGCAGTATCAATCTATCATCAGCCTCTCAGAAAGCACCTGCAAACAATGTAAACCTATTTTGTCTTGTGTGTCCCTGCATGAGGGCATGCACGCTTGCAAGGCCAATGGCACTTCTATGTCCACCTCTGAAGACAAGCGCGTACATTTCCACATGAAGGGTACAGATGCACTTCAATATCTTGCTTAAAAAAAAATACTCTGCATCAAACAAAAGATTTTTGAAGCACGGTTTCCCATCGTAATCTTGCAAAGCAAATACATCCATGCCACATACAAGACATGCATCACAAGTCTGATTTAAGCATGATTAACTACACAATTATCGCCCCCATGCACAGCTGTTCAACAAGAGGTTCTTGTCTCTTCTGCCAGGCCATCAGAAGACACGCATGCTTTACTCCCTCCCTGTGGACTTAAGAATGTACTGAAAAATCAAAATAAAACCCTGACACTAAAATAAATGGCATTAATACTTAGACAAAAGAGACATAATGACAGTGTATTTCTGTAATAACAAAATAAATCAAAGAGACACCCATATTATGAGTTACTAGGCCACTACCATCTATGTGCCTTACAATCATTACATATTGCTGTGGCTCCAACAGCCCACACCTCTCAACTCCAAAGTCACTTTCTCTTAGTCAGAGCTGCATCTTTCTGAGAGCTGCATGCAGTAGAAATTTTGGAGTGGCTGGCCAAAATATAAGAAATATTCCATGATAAACATAGGTTATTCTCAGAACCGTCTTGGAAATCCCATGTTCGTGCCTACTTGGTATTGAGGAAACAGGAAGATCTCTGTGATCTCACCAAACTTGGTGAGAATACTGCACAAACACTGTATTGTTCCTAACCTAAACGTAACCAAATCTGGCTCCTACCACTTGTCTTTAGTATCCTGTGTCAACTGAATGTCTTCACCTAAATATTCATCTCATAATTTGATGAAGTAAAACAAAACTGGGGAATGAATTTTAGTCTCATGTATTAAAAAAAAATAAATAAATAGCCTGCCACAAATACTTTTCATTTTAAAAGCTATTTGCAAAAAGATGAGGCTGGCTTGACTACAGAAAAAATGCAATAATCTCGTCTTCTGGGGCTAGTCTGACCATATTTTTAATTTTCCAGGTGAAAAAAATAAATCTTGGGTATATTGGTTTTGTTCTAATTAAAAATGAAAATAAAAACTGAAGCCTGCACATTTCCTTGAAGAAGTGGTCACGTTTTGCACCCTGTACTACCTAAAATTACCATTGAACAGAAGAACTTAAAACACTGTTGTAGAGAACAAAGGGTACAGTTGCAGCATTAACAAGAGAGCCAGACCACAGACAAAGTGGTGTGAAAGGCTGCAAGAATGAAGTGAGAAAAAGCAACAAGTCAAACTCAAGCTCAAAAAAAGTGAGTGTGCAAAAGACAGAAAAGTGAAAAGGATATTCATCTGACCCTGAAGAATGGCACTGCCCTCAGACCTGTACAAAAAAAAGAGTTACAGATATAACCATCCAAAGAACAGGAATACTTTCATAAATGTATATTTCTATAAATATTATATGTATTTTATATATAAAAATATAACATCTAGACATTACATAGGAAAAAAAATAAGAAGATTATGTAGTTCAAGGATGCTTTAATGGTTCAACTTCTATGGCATCAAAGACAACACCACCTCTAAAGCCAAAATCGTTATTATAAATTAATGCACATAATGAACACTTCTTAATGACAAAATAGAGAGTGCTGCATACCAATCTTTAAGGAAAGGTAAAACAGCTTCTTAAGGCCTCAGAAGGCAGAAGGAAACACCTTTCAGTGAAGTTTGCTTTAACTAGCCTCATTACTAAATCCTATAGAGTCTAAAAATATCCTTAAAAGTCTCAAATTTTGTAATAAAATCCTATATCTGTACTCATTTTATCTAATTTTCATGTATATCAAAATTATACCCAAAGGCATTGACTAGCACACTGCAGCCTTTATATGTACAAGCTGACAGAAAATGAGGTTTTTCTTCTTTCCTTTGTGCTACTGCATTTGAGAATAGCTTCCCATACCTCTGAAGAATCCTCTTCTAACAACAGTAACCAGTAGCATAGCTGAAGAAAGACCCAGAAACAGAGACAACTTTTTCTTCCTAAGCTAACTACCTCCCTTGGGTCATTCACACTTTCCCCCAATCTTTGAAGTTATCCCTTCAAGAGAAGGCTTAGAATTTATTTTTATGACTGTTTACAGTGCTGAGCACATTACTGCCACTTAACAAGTGAAGCATAAAAGAAATCTCCCAAAGATCTAAGCATATAAAAAAAAAAAAAAATCTCTTTTACTTTATATTTAAATATCCTTTCATTGCCTGAAAACAAGCATCAGAATTAACTCCACAGGGAACCCTTGCTAAAGCAGCATTGTTGTACACTCAACTGCCATGTCAAGGATTCAAATCCATTCCCACTCAACATCAGTAGGAGAAGTTCCACTTAATTCACCAGTTCATCATGATCAATGTTTTTCTGGGCAATTCTGAAAGAATTGTAGAAATAAAATAAAATAAAATAAAATAAAATAAAATTAAATTAAATTAAATTAAATTAAATTAAATTAAATTAAATTAAATTAAATAGGAGTGGGGAGAGTGTTGGGTGTTCATAAAGAACCTCCATGTTGATATCTTAGAACGACCTTAAAACCATTTATTTCAATTACTCATAAGCTGCATTCTGCTGTTTAAGAAACAGAAAAGTGCATTTTACATAAAAAAGAACCAACCAACTTACCGATTATCAGCCGTCCAACGCAGTGCTGCTTGAACTTGGGCAACAAACCTATCCAAAAAGCTGCTAATTGAAGGATGCCTTGAAGGAAGCTGAAATTTTAAAGAATCTTTCTCTTTCTCCAATTCTTCCAGTTTCCGTCTAAATTTATCAGCTAAAAATAAAATAAAATAAAATAACTTAGCAGTGACAAAAAGGTTCCATTTTACCTGAAGAAGAAAAAAGTCGATCAACAAAAAGTAAAATCCACCTCACAGGCAGTTCATTCCCTTTTGATAAAATACATCAGTTGGATTTGCTCAAGGTTTTATTACAATGGAAAATGAGATAACTACAATACTAAGCTACTTTCTTCTATGACAAGGACAAAACTGCAGGCTTCCCAGCACTTCGGAGGTTTAATTTAGTAAGACTCCAAAGAATTGGCTCAGTTATCATCTGTGTTCTTTTCCTAGTGTAACACCTCTGTATTCAATTCTAAGAAAACTCTTCCTCTTCACTGCTCCAGTTTTAAAACAAGCTTTTAAAACAATCTTAGATGGCTTTTAAAACGACTTTTTAAAAATTGCATTGTTATTAGGTCAAGAACTTAAAAAATCACATAAGATATTTCAGCAGAAAATGCACATGCAATAAGAGCAATTAAAGAATTATCTTATTCCAGGCTCCCTTGAATTATGTGTAGTTTATCATCCAACAAAAATATTTACTTTAAATAAAAATGAGAGTGGTCCTTAAGAGAGTGCTTTGACACTACCATAGCTCTATAAATTTCTTAGGGTAAACATTTACATGTACAAATCACATACATGACAGATAACAAGCTTGGCTTGTCCAAGCCAGAACACCTTTGATGATCCATTAGTCAAATCAGAGACATTTGAGCTAACCCACAAATGGAAAACCTTTACAGTTCAGTACTTTCCTCATGACCCCACTGCCTGCAATTTTGAGTGATTAGCATTCCTTTCCTTCTAACATTTTCAATACAACATGTTACTATTGGAATAACATCCATCTGGCATGTCTTTTACAGCTTTTTTTGTTGTTGTTGGTTTTTTCCTTAAAGGATTTTTAAGAAGAGGGGTTGTTTACATTTGCTGGCTTAGTGAAATGATCGATTTTTACAATAATTTATCAATAGTACTGATCTCTGTTCTGCTTCTGTGCTGATAGGTTGGAATAAAGACAAAGAAAGTAATAATGAGACCAGATCTTCTCCCTTAGCCAGCAGACCTTTGCAGGGTAGTTAAATGCATGTTGTTGCTGTTGTTGTCATTATTACGGTGCAAAATGCTGCTGGAAGGCTCTAGCCAAAATGACCAGCACCCAGGTTACTGCATGGTCCAGGCCTTGCCCCAACAACCACAGGTACACCTGTGCATACTCTTCCTGCAAAGGAGAGAGAACTTTTCAGCAGCAGAGGTGAGGTACATCTGCAGTGTGTTTCTCAGGGACCACAGCTGAACAGATTCATCCCATTCTTATCAACACAACAAAACTGGAATTTGGGCCCAGATGAGACTTCTGAGCCCATACTTTGACCAGAAAAACTTATCAGCATTTGCATTTTGTGTGGAACTTCAAACACAACCATCAAAAATATCACTGTTAAAAACAGAAAAGTATGGGTTGGACTGTGACCAACGACCACTAAACACCAAAACATGTGGAACCACCTCCTTTTACTCAAACCATCAAGCGTTCTGTGCTACCCAAGCAGGAGTAGTAGCAGCCTTCTACAGCTATTCAATGACGTTGTCATTGTTCTTCAATATAATTATGCTCACACTACATTTGAATGCCCAACTGTTCAATCATACTACTCCTACCCAACCTGGCCCTAGAAACAGGCTATTTTGGGAAGGAAAACAGATGAGGGGGTCCACATGCCAATTCACTCTCTCTCATTAATTCTTGGCTGCATCTTGCTTTATATATTCCAGTCTACACAGGATTCAATTAGTTTCTACTAACAGACGTTTCTAAATAATTTGTTTCACTGGCATTTTATAAGTACTGTTGCTGGCCTTATCTGCTTATCATCTCTCAGCACTAAATGATCATTTCCCTTTTCAGCATTGTGGTTATGGGCTCCATCTCAAGAGACTCCACCACCACCACTGAGCTGAACACTGCAGCACTCAGCTTTTAGGCTCCACTCCTGGAAAGGAGACCCCTCAGTTTGATTTGGCTGATGTTTTCAGTGCATGGAGAGACCAAGACACCTCAGTTCCATCTGCAGAGCAGAGAACCATGCAAATAAGGCTCATGTCAGTCCAACTCAGTCCAGCACTGCAGCTCAAGAGAGATCTGGATCAAGCGGAAGTAATGGAAACTACAGAAGTCATGTGTAAAAGAAGGTAATCAGCAGGATATAAAGACTGGGGGGAGTAACTTCCACTACTGTTATATACCAGGAAGGCAGTAATACAATGCTTTTCACCCCCCCTGAGAACTTCTGTCCTCAGTAACAAACCTGAGTTACAGCAAAGGCAATGAGGGAAAACATTAGGGATAGTAATGCACTAAAACTAACTCCTTGGGACAGCCAGACTCCACCAGTCTTGGTTTTCAGGTCAGACAACAGCTCCTAGGAACAGCTCTAGCATACTTTTTAATGCTGACGCCAGCAAGACCAAGCGTGTTCTCCCGAGATCCCTTCCCATCATATTTTGTAGGATCCTCCATCCAGGAAGATGACACAGAAGTACTCTGCTCTTCATAAGCCATTAGACCCCAGGACACCATCTTTCTTTACCTTCATTTTGGCCTGTATACATGGTATTTTGACATGGAAAATACCTTCACAAGATGCCAGATCTCACTGATGGTCTGAGAAGAAACCACATGCACTCACACACCTCCATCACACATAAAGGTTTAATACTTTTTCCTCTGTCTCATATGTCACCACAAAATAAGTAATTTAACACACAGCTTACATGCAAAAAGCAATCCCCCATTTGATGAAGTTCTTAAACAAAGGAACTTTAATATATTCAATACATCCTCTTTTACACACAAGCATTAGGAATAAGGCTCAATTCTCTTTACCAGCCTTTTATTTCACTCTATTCTATCCTATGGATACCCTAGATGAAACTTCTACTTTAGTGCAAACAGCAAAAGTCAATCCTTAAATTACCCTCCATCCCAATCTACTACTGCCTGGTGCACGTCAGACATCCCATTCAAATTAAAGGCAACCCAGGGTACAGGCCTGGAAGAGGCTAACTGCTGTTCTCAATTAAACAGTCAGCAGTCAGAGAGTTGTGTTGTCTCCATAGATCATATTTTGTAATAGCTTTGAGCAAAGAAAGCAATTTCCATAATTTTGAATTTACCATATGAGAACATCTGGCTACCTGCCTACTTTTTACATATACTAATATTGGGTTTACTCCCTTGAAGAGAAGGTTCACTTTATCAGAACTATTTATCATCATCTAAAAAACATTTAAGAAAATCATCTTAGTAAGGGTAGAACTTCATTTGTTACATACTGCATATATTTCTGTTTATTCATGCCTGTTCTTTGATGATAGGTGGGAAGATGATCAATCGTACTAGTTTACAACTGGCTGGATTTCAAGGAAGTGTTTCTTCAGCTAGTTCAACTAGAGAAGGCCATTTGGATCCTGCCCCAGAATCCTGTCAACTCCTTCCCTTTTTCCTCACTTCCCCCAATAAACATAAGGATCTCAAGCAGGACTTGTGTGGGGTTTAGATGTATAAATAATTTATTGAAGCCCTAAAATATTTTTCTTACCTGCTAGATACTTCCAGAGCCAGGTAACCTCCTCAGTATTCATAATCTTAAAAACTTAAAGCTTCAGTGATGGTGTTTTTGTATACCCAGCGTCAGAGATACTGTTACCTATTTTGTAAGACCTAAAGAAGTTCCAGGTTCAGATTTAAAATACCCCTCTAGCAGCCTATCTCCAACCACACACAGGAGCAGGCTTTTAGAGAGGAAACTAAGAACCAGGGTGAAATGTCTCTTTACCTCAGTAATGCTCCTGAACCTCTAATGTTTGTCAGCTGAAAGACTTCCTGAGCTAGATAATATTCCTAGATAACTTCACTGTTCTGACTGGAAGAAAAAGATAAAATTAAAAAATCAAATCAAATCAGCAACAGATGGACATCTATCCACCACAAGTTTCTCTTTTCTCACGCTATCTACGCTTTTGGTCTCCAAAATATCTTATGACAGAATTTCAAAATGGAATTATGAATTATGTAAACATATTCCATTTGATAATTTTAAACCTAAAGTCTGATGATGATCTTATCAGACGTTTCTTTTTTTTTTCTTTTTTCTTTTTTTTTTACTGTAAATAAAATAAAACATTCCTTCTACACTTTTGCTGCAAAGTAGTAACTTAGGCAACAATCATGTCAAATCGCAGCACTCATTTTCCAGGACAGAGAAACTTACACTTGCTAAGGCAATTGCTCCAAAAGCTAGAAAGTGAGAAGTCTAATGCAGCGCTTGGAAACGTGAGTGAAATGCAGTTGGGGAGCAGACCAATAAGCAAGATGTCTACAACCCAATTACTAATTCAGGCCTCCTGCAAAATTACTTGCAGGAGAACATGCAGACCAACTAATATCCAACTATGACATATAAAGACATATACTGTAATCAGAAATTAAGGTATTACAATCAACTACAGTATGTGTGTGTTCTTAATTTAAGGATAAAATAATTAACCATTTATCAGTATGAAACAGATACACAGTAGAAGATATACAATTCTTTGCCAAAATGCAAGTGACAACCTGATGTCACATTTCATGCCACACGTTTCCCCTGCTACAGGTAACTTCAGCTGTCTACTGTCTCTCCACTCTTTCTTTCCCAGCAATGAGACACCAGTATACATAAATCAGGTGGGGGAAGAAAGAGGAGAAAACTTGGTACTCAAAATAGTCCCCGTGAGAGAAGCACTGCAGAACAGTGTCTGAAAAATGTCTTATAAAGAACTGCTCAAGCAGGCTTTTTGTCTCCCAGCAAGCTCTGTATTTCCCCACCTCCCAACCCCCTCAGTCCACACCAGTTACAAGCCAGGAAACTGCTGTATCCTTAAAACTTATATAACATTTCTCAAATTAATGTACCAAATGTCAGTGTTGGAGGAGAGTTGG